GGCCTCGAGTTACTTCGTAAGGCTGGCGATATTTTGATACAGCTCCATTCTGGAGAACGAGGACAACATGTTGCCTGCCGATTCACTTATTTAGACAGAGTTAAGTAAGCTGCTACAACAAAAAGACCCGTGAAATATTTTCGTTCGGTATTCCTTTTACTTTTTTAATTAATATAAAGTTTCTAGTTAAATTTTCAATAAAATAAATATGTAGATATTTAGAATTTTTAGATTCTGTTCTATAAAAAAAAAGCGAGGTGAAAACGGGTTTATTCGGTTGTAAAAATCTGGTTTACTCAGTATCCAAAAAACCGAGATTTCAAAAAAAGTCTAAAAATATTGAAAAAAAAACCGCAGGAAGTCGGGTTTGAAGAAACCGAGTCAGTACCTGTGAAAAATAATAGCGACACGACATTATGACCAGTTTTGACTATTTTCCTTTGTTTGTTTAATCTATATTTGTTTTTATAAAAATACAGCTCATACCTAACAATAACCATATACATAGGTTCCAATTTCAAACTTTGTAGAAAAATTAGAAAAATTCAACAAAATTTTACAGCAACAAACTTTTTATAGAGATTTTATAGAGAAATGCAGTTTTATAGCCCATTAAGTTCTAGCTCAATAAAGTGCAAGATTCAAGTGGCTAAGAATTCGCGTTGACTTTGATAATTTTTTTTCTGAAATTTTATATTTTTTTTTGTATGGACGAAAATAATAACACCATCGGCAAAAGAAATTATCAAAAATCAACGCGAATTCTTAGCTACATTCTACCTATACTTTATTAAGCTAGAATTTAATTTGCTATAAATCTGCATTTTTCTAAAAATTCTTAATAAAAAATTTGTTGTAAAATTTTGTAATTATTTTTTTATTTTATTTTTTTTAATTTTTCTACAAAGTTTGAAATTCGGACTTTTATGGATAAGCTGTATTTGTATAAAAAATGAATAAACATTAAACAAAGAAAAGAAAAATTCTCAAAACTGCTCAAAATGTAGTGTCCTTATATTTTTAATAGGGCTGTATGGAAGGTTTATCTAAATAGAGATTTGGTTAGGTTGGTACAGGTTATAAAACCACACGCAATACAGTTATCAGATCATTATAAGCTCGTTGTCAGAAGGAAAACATTAACTTACAACAAGAGAACCATAAACTAGTAAGATGCCAAAGTTTATAAGGATCGTCTTCTACATAGGCTGTCTCTAGTCATTGGTTAGATATTCCATAAAAGATTGTCAGAAAGATTTATTGTTAAAAGTCATGGAAGGGCCAAGTGTAGAAGGACTTCTCTGTACCCGGTATGAACAACTGGCGCACATTTGCAAAGTAGAGAGGCAAGTCTCGAAGTTTTTTGGTCGCGGCACAAACCGACAAACGATTGTAGTGCTAAATGAGAAGAAGAAGAAGAAAATCACGAATTTGCGTTAGCAAAATCTTTCATATCTTGCGAATACAAGATTACTTGCATTTAATCTAATTTCTAAATATAATTGCATATATTGAAATAAGGTGAAGAAATCTATCAACAATCTGTTATCAATATCAATCTAATCCATTTGGTTTCAATATCATGAGTAACAAAAAATGTTGGATGCGTTCTTTCAAAATTAATGCTGTATGTATGTAAATATACCAGCCACCCTTCCGGCTAAATTTAAGGCTCAACACTTGAACTTTAGAGCAGCATGCATGGGTATAATTATACTCATGCAATTACACACTTTTTTCCTCGCGCATTTTCTTCCTCATCTGTGTTGCGTATTTTTAGTTTTCAAAAAATTTACTTAACACTGCGTGGGTGATTCAGCTGCCAGCCGCTGCGGCTAATGGAATAAAGTAAAATGACTTTCTTATCTGCTTTTATTATTTCAAAGAAAACATTTTCTCTTTAAGACTTGCGCTATCTGCTTATTTCTTCTTTTTGTTTCCTGGTCACAGTGAGCTTGTGTTCTTGCATGTATGTATGTGGGGGTGTGTGTGTGGTCTTTCAAAATCGGAAGCAACAACGCAATTTTCTCAACAAATGTGTGATTTAAGTTTTGTTTTATTTTATTTATTTGCTTTATTGTGATGGATATCTCTTTTCTGACGTCAGTTGTGACCGGGTGATCCTCGGCGCTTTTTCACGGTTGTTTGGAAATTTCTTTCGTTTGCCAGCTTAGTTGTTGTCCATTTATTATCTATCATTAATCTTATTTTTTGTTACTTGTTCGGTTTTATTTCATCCATTTTTCTTCTTTAAACTGAAATAGAAATAGTGAAATGTTTTAATAGAGTATAGAAAATTGTATTTTTCGTAAAATGTTAGTTCATGACATTAATTATGGTGGCTCAGAAATAGTGTTACCGCATGCGATAAGGAAGAGATTTTCTGTGCCATTAGACTTCTTGCTGTCAAAAAAAACTACATAGTGGAATAGTATTTTTATGGCTGAGCTTCATACATAAATCTCGAAAAATTTTACTTCGCTTCGTTACAACTCGATTGCATTCTGGTATAAGGGTTAATTTTCGGTTAATCAGTAATACTGATTTAGTGTATTGGCTCTAAATAAATTCCCTCCATGCATAATTACTGTGTCTGTGCTGGACCTTAGGGCAATGCTTGGCTAGATCTGGGCTCCGGGAATACATTTATGCCTATTCTGGTATCCGGCAGATGCCATTCACACGTTCACTGTTTTTTGAAAAATACCTTTTCTAACTTCTATTCTGCCAAAAATTCTTTAAAATATCTGTGTTAAGAGTTTGACTCTCAGGTTAAATGTGAATGTGTTTGTTTTTCAATCCAGATCGAATGCCTGAAACGATAAATATGAAATAAAGCCAACCTTTGAAGTTTATTGAAACGTAATATGGTTGCTATTCTATGGCGTTTTCTTTTCTACCGAAAAATGTAATCTTCTGCACAAACAGTAGCAGCGAAAGGAAAGAACATTAAGTTCACGTCCCTTGTCGGACCAAAACGTTTTTTTACAGGTCCACATGACTCGGATGGTTTCACTGAGAGTTTTGTCTAGAATTAATTTCAACTTAGCACCTTACCGATGGTAATTCCATTTTTTTTTTTTTCGTCTGAGTATTCAAACGTAACTGAACCTACTTTCGGTCCGTAGATGCCTGAGCAAAAAAGAAATCCCCAAAAAGGGGCTCAGTCTAGGCTGCTTAAAGCATTCATATTAAATTGGACGACCTGCCGAGAGATCAAAAAAAAAAACTAAATAAATATATGAGGTTTAACTTCACACATAATTCCAAAGCCTTTTTCCCCCAATAGGACTAACTGGGACAATAAACAAATAAAATCCCCGCATTTGATGTACTGACGTCTTCAAAAATTACTATGGCATCGGAACAGAAGTATATGGCATACAACTCAGAGGGCTCCTTTTCGCTGGCATGGGGCGAGTTCACTCTGCCTTTCAGGCATGCTGTTGTTAGGTCTGGCCTTCAGAACCTGGTTTACCTCATTTGGGTGTCGGAACACAGTTGGGAATGAATTGGCAAATATTCACGCCATAGAAAAGCCTGCACAGGGTTTCCTAAGCCGAGGAACCTTAGGTGAACATACTGTATTTGGATGAAGAAGAAAGCGCAAATTGGACAAGTACAGAACCTAACAGAAAGGCGAAGTCCTTTATCCTGAAAATATCAACAAGGAGAACTAATTCAAGAAATAGCATAGCGAATTATGTACCACTATGAAGCACTTGCTAGGCCCAGCTTTCGCTTCCTAGGGTCACCATATCTAATGGCATTCATGCAAGTACTTCGCGTGGCTCCTTTACAATATTTAGATGAAAGAAGACCTCAATTCTTAAGTCTTAACTCTCAAATTCAGTATATGAAAAAAAAACTTGTTTGGAGGAAAATGTTATCAATAGCTTTACTTTATAAAACGTACAATCACCCTTGCCCGGGATCAATGACAGGTGTAGCCATATGGTTAGAAGGCCGGAGTATGACAAGGTTGAGCCCTGGAGCTTGGTCAAGTCAGTGCAACATCCAGAAAAATAATTTCTAATAGCGATCGCTTCTTGGCAGACAATCTTCCAAATGTATTTATGTACATTAGGGTGGTAAAAACAAAAAAACTAAAAATGCTCTCATCCCTTAGGATTGTTCTATATCGGAAAAATATACCTCTGCTTTTTATTTTAAAATCAAAAGCGTTATTTGTGGTTTTGGGGGACCTATAAAAAATAGTTGATATTAAAAAACTGGGAAAAAAACAATTGGGAATTATTATTAGAAGTCTCCTGATAAGAAACAGAGCTCTCAGATCGGAAACACTTGATTTTCAATAATTCTATACCATTTCCTCGATAAATTGTTTTTTTTTTTTCATATAAAATACATGGAAAACTTCATGGGCTTTGAGGCAGTTCTAAATATAAATTTTTTTAAACAAAAAAATAGTGTATTATTTTTTCCATTTAGAAAAACCCTAGGGGCGAGAGCTTAACATTTTAACAACTTTTTTACGGCCCTAATGCCTGGAGAAAACTCTTCGCGGTAAAAGTAATTTAAATTTTATTTAAATTTTAAAGTGCTGGAGGTTAAATAGAGATTAGGTAAACCAGATAGCTAGAACTGTACTCGTACTTTGTATTCATTTATTTCCATCTGTTGCCGCGTGCCGTCATGGCTTATTGAAATTTTGAGCTGCAATATTAAAAATTTGCATAAACAAACATGCAAAAAATAAATAGATTTGAATTCTTAAACGCCTAATTTAAATATTACGGTTTAGCTGCGTTGCGTTGTGTGCGCAAATTGTACAAAGTGCAATATGCAATTTCAAAATAAAATGTTTAATTTAAAATTTTTTTCTTAAGATTTGACGTAATTCTTTCGCAACTGAGCGCATCCTAGTTGATTGCGCTGTGGAAAAACAAAATTGTTCCGTGGATTCATGCCAATTTGTGTAGACCGCAATAATTCGGCGTTCGTATAGAACATTTCCAAAATAGTACATACTCGTAACAGCTGAAAATCGTTTTGTGGTATTTTTATTGCGCCAGCCAACGACCTTTTTAACTCTGCGCGCACACAAAATTCGAAAGCCTTCGCAGGGTCGCTGTAATGTCTTTTCGTTCACGTTCACGCGCCTCCCAGCCGCTAGCTGGCTCTTCGCATCGTCGTTCACTCTCCAGTTCGCGTGCCACCTCTGCTTCGGGTGTGGGCGGTAGCGGCAGTGCCTACAACTACAATGGCAGCAATTACAATAGCAATCACACAAATGGATATAGCTCTAGTTCGCGTCCGTTGAGCACCGGTTACTATCAGAATGGCGTTGGCGCTGGCACATCGTCGTCTTCGGCGGCATCGTCTTCCTCCTACTATCAGAGCCCGTATGCGAGCATTTATGGTTCGCGTGACAATCTCTACAGCACGGCCGGAAGTCGCGCAGCCGGTGGTGGTGGCAGTTCCTACTATTCGAACGGTAAAAGCGCTGGAAGTGGTGGTGGTGGTGGTGGTGTCATTGTAATTGGCCGCTATGAATATACGTGCGCATCTAGTACTACTGCACCCGCTTATTCACCCAAAGCTGCTGCCATCAGCTCATCCGCTCACGCTATTTCCTCCGCATCAGCATCAAAATCCACTAATTATACGCCACGAAAAGTTAGCTCTAGCGTTGAAAATCATCATCACCATTCACATTCACATCCACATCACCAGCAATACGCAAAATCCACAACCCATAAAAGCACTCCTTCATCCTGCTCCATATCCACCAGCTCTCATCACCATCATCATGCATCTAAGCATACGCAGCAAAAAAATTCTAGGCATACTTCTCTATCGCCAGCTGGCCGTTCAAAATGCAAATGCATTCATTGTATTCCCTCATCTCTGGCAGCATGCATTCATTGCTCTGCTTGCACAGTTGCCGCATATACCAATAATAATAAAACCTCTTTGTACAACTCCTCGAAATCCACAGCCAACGGTGGTAGCGCAGGCGGTGGGGGCAGTGGTTATGAATCGCGTTACCTTTCGAATCCCTACAGTAGCGATCGCTATATGAGTCCCTACACTAGCTACGACAATGGCGTGACCACGGCTTCGCTCAGCTTGAATATGGGTAGCGGCGCTGGCAAGTCCAACTCCTTCAAAGGTAGCTCCAGTTCATCGTATAGAAGCACGCCAAGCAGCGCACGCTCAGCGCCAAGTCTGCTGAAGAACAAATCGATCTCCAATTCGAATAGCAATTTGAACGCCTACGGCGGCAGCACCGCATCAGCATCCGGTGGTTCAATGGCGGCAGCTGTTAATAGTAGCAGTGTAGCGGCGATGGCGGCATTAGTTGGACGTAGTAATTCCTTGCGCGAACAGGAACGCAAGTCACGCAATCGTTCACGTTCACGCAGTGCAGCGCAACGTTCGTTGAGCGCATCTTCAGAGAAGAGTGAAGGTTATGAAGTACGTTGTGTGTGTGTATGTTAGAAAAGATCACTTAAGAGTTGTTGCTATTATAACATTCTTATATTAATTATCACAATTGTTAGGCAATTGTATGAGCGCAGTGTTTGACTTAAATTATAATTTTAAAATTGTTTCTTTTCTTCTTCTTATTCTTCCAGAGTGGCGGTGAACGTGCCGCTTCGCGTTCACGTTTAGGCAGTACCACCACCTCCAGCTCGAACTCCGCGACAGATGAAAATAAAGCACGTGATAAGTCAGAGAATGGCGAAGCCATCGACTACAAGGCTCTATGGGAGGCTGCAAAGTAAGTATTGTTAGGAGTGATAAGCGGAAAATACACAAAGGGCCTATCCTAACATCTTTGAAGACTGCTACTTGATGTGTCCAGATATAAATTGGGGTGCAGTACCGGTGGCGTAGACCCGATTGTTGTGCGACCGCGAAACAGATAGATGTGGTAGGTCGTTAGCTATCTCACTTGGGGGAGTCATATTTCGCGGACAGACCTATAGATTCTACTACATAAGCGTATCGGATAAAACCCAACACCAGTTTCTCTTTCACATATGTATACTGAAACTCGAATTGTGTCTAGTTAATAGTATGATTTAACCCTTTTAGGACTGTGAACCTATATGCAGAAAACAATTACCCATCTTGCTGTTTTTATATTAGAAAACTTGGAATAGAAAGTAACTGCTATAGATTTGAAGCGGGAGGTCTAGCTTCCGAGTAAAATATCAAATTCCTATTGTTGAACTCGGCCAAAAAGTTTCAGCAACTGACTGATCATGACTAGGATCGAGCCAACACGAAGGTCATACGAAGCTCGATTTTCAGGCCGTGCTCCGTCATGCAAAGCTCAAGGCCCGCGCGCCGCAAGAAAATCGCTAAATTGTTCACCAAAGCTGAAGGTTGTTGACTTTTGGAACGGAATGGCTCATGTCACTGCCAGGATGAGGCGAATACTTCGTCAGATTTTCGGACCGTTGTTTAAACGCATACGGTTTTTGTTGCCAAATTGAGATGGTTAAGCAGGGAGCATTTTTTTTTAATAACCGTGGGCCGCCATTTTGATCAGGACTAAGAATAAAAAGCTGAAATTTTGATGAAAATTTGGTTGAATTTTCCTAAATTTTGTATAAAGTCTGAGACTGAGATTTGAACGGGTTTGGTTAAAGCTTAGACGATATTTTTATATAAAAATAACAAAAAAAATTTGCTGGAAAAATATTACGAATATTAAAAAAAAAACAACACGTGGTCATTTGTTTGAGTCACTGTAGGCACATATGTATATATAGTTGTTGGTGCTGTTTGGTAAAAAGACCTTGAAGTTATGTGGGAAGTTAAACCTCGGGAAGGCAAAGGTCAACAAAGCTAATGGGCAGTGTTTCCCTGGAAATCTAAGGGTGTATAAGCTTCATATCCTTCATATTGTTCTCGCAGATGTGTTTTTGCTCAGCTTGGCCTGCGTGGTACTAACTTCTGTCTTCATCCACCAGCACTTCATGGCGCAGCATATCTTGGAATGAGTTTGGCGATGGTGTCCTGGTACCTTACCAATTTAGGTGTGATACCCCAATTTCGCCCTGGCCATGAAAGCTTGCCATCAAGGTCACCTCCCAGATATTTTCAGTCTTTAGAAAAGTGTTCCTCTTTTTACTTTTCTGGCAATTTATCCTATGACTATGCTAGTGTGCATAGGGCTTATGTTTAAAATGATTTTAAAGCACGATTAGGCGACTATAAAATGTAGTGTTTATAAAATGTATTGTCTTCCAACCTCCAAAAAGCAGATATATACATATTTTTTTTTGTTCAATACCTAAGGTATCACATATTTAACTTTTTGTGAGCCTTAAAATCGATTTCAACAAATATCACCTTCCCCATTTCAGATTGGAGAACGACAAACTAAAACAGCAATTAAAGAAGAAGGATGAAGAAATCGTACAAAGTAGAGCAACACTCGAAAGAATTACAAACGCAGTAAGTATAAAATCTGTTTTATTTGTATCTAACCTAAAAAGTGTTAACTGGTATGGAATATACAAATCCATAAAACTGAAAACATAAAGGAAGAAACAAAATACAATTTTTAAAGTCGAAAAAATCAAAATTAAAAAATTATACCAAACGTGCATTGCCCGCTGCCAACAACAAATAAAAACTGCTGCTACATACTAAGAACATACAAATATGTATCTACAACTTTCCGCTTAACAAAAAAGAAAAGCAATTAATAAAATTTGTCGAAAGACAAATTCAAACCGAAGCAAAATAAATAATGACACAAAACATGCTAAGAAACATGCTAAGAAACACACATAGGTCAGAAATAATGTAAAGCATTAAAAATAAACAGTTGAGAGAAAAATAAACATTTCAGAAATTGCGAAAATAAAACAAAAAATACGAATAAAAAAAAAAATATTTTTTGCGCGCGTGCTTTCAAACGCTGTTAAGATAGATAGATACTCTTTATTTTTCTACCGCAACATTTGTATGATACAGAACATAACACAAAAGGAAAAAAAAGAGAGTGTGATCGTAGTGATCGCAGACAACGCAACGCCTTAAGCGACAACACCAAAACTAATTCTGTTGACATTTGTACATAGCAATGTTATTTGCATAAATTACAGCTGCTTTTTAATCACAATTCTATGCTTTCACATCTAACATACTCTGCACAGTGCTCTTTACTTACTTACTATCTGCCCAGTTGCTCTCTTAATCCACCCGAATACACTCTTGCTAACATTATTATTTTTTTTTCTAAACTGCCAGAAAGCATATAAAATCGCACACACGCTCATCTACTACTCGTAGGTACATACATAAAATCATAAAACGAATAAATTTCGCTAAACGCTCCTTGCTGCCTCTTAATCCAACTTATGTCTGTGTATTTGTACATGTTACATAAAAATGTTAATATCTGAATTTGAAAAAAAAAAACAAAAACCACAAAATATGAAAATATCGAAACAAAATTTCGCAAATTTAATTTTTGCAGACAACTAAAAACTCACTCTCAGAGCTCGAAAAACGCGAAAGGAGAGCAATGGAACGCAAACTTTCCGAAATGGAAGAAGAGTTAAAGGTAAATAATTTTGCAAGCACCAAAATACACGCAAACATGCACACTTGCATACAAAGTGCATCCACCCGCCCTCACACACACACGCACACACACACTTTCACGAAAGTAAAAAAAAAAAACAAATTTTGTTTGTTGATTGTTGTTTAATACACCTAACTGCTCTTGTGACTTAACAGCCCCCCGACACACACTTATGTACACGCACTTAAACCGAATAATGAAAGACACCAAAAATGAATACTAATTTTTTACTAAAAAACCTTAAATAAGTATGTACATATTTATTTTGATTTAAATGTTGTTTTTTTTATTGCATACAAATGTACAATCCAAGTGCACCCAGCAAAGTGCATTAACTAGGCTGCTGGTTTATTTATTGCCAAAGCCAAGTAAAGCTTTAAGTGCATTCACACAATTACACTTTTTTTCAGTTGGATGTATGCTGATGTAATTTTTTGGTAAATCATAATGATTTCTTAGCAGTTATCACATCAAAATGTTTTTCGAACATTTGATTTCTACTATGTATGCGTTTTGTTTTATTTTATTGTTTGTTTTGGTTTTTACTTTAAATTTTTTTTTTTTATTTTATTTTTTTTTTATTTCATATTTTTTCGCAAAGCATGTGGTCGATAAATTTTTTAAAAGGTAATTCTTTAAGTTGCTTAGTCTCATATGTACCGACCACCTAAATGGTCAAGGACATAAATGTACTTTAAATTTGGACTTTTTTTTCGGTGAAATTTAATCGTTATTTTGGATTTTTTTCCGACAATTTTAATCTTGGAAACTGTTTATGACCGATTTAAATCTTTAATATAAACATTTATCCAAAAAATAAAATTCGATTATCCTTGATCGAAAGAATAAAAATCGTAAAATAACGATTAAATTTTATTAGAAAAATAAAAATCGAGTTTTAACGATTAAATTATAATTTTTATCATACAGATAACAGCTACGGTCCCCGAAAATTACTATTTTCAAGAATGAAGTTTTAAAAAGACATTTTTCAATACCTTTTCGTCTTTGTTCACAAAAAAAAATAATTTTTTTAAATTTTTTTTTGAAATTTCGAAGCCTTTTTAGAAAAGTCCTGAGGTCAAAAGGAAAACTCAAAATGCTATTTTACTAAATGCAGTTTTACTATAGTTGGCCCCTAGTTTCGCGATTATATTGATGTTTTCGTGTGCAAAATTCTCTGTCGCGCGGTGTAATCGATGTTGAGAGGTCGTGAAAGTAATACAGGACAGCGAAATTTCACCATTTCGAGTTTCAAGAACGGCTAGGGGTTATTCTTGAAGATTTAAATACTCGGAAAGCGAATCTGGCTTTGCAAATGCTCCAGCATGTCAAGATTTTGGGCTATTTTAGGTTAGAGTGTCAAAAAATGGCAAATTCATCCGCTTCAACGCATCGAAGTTACTTTCTGATTGTTTATCTACAAGAATTACTCGTTTTATTAACTGTACTTCTCAGGACTGTGTAAGTTTTCTATCCCGTAAAAGTCTAAAGCTATGGAAATTTTTCTGAAAACGGAACCAATACTCCAACCAGTCCTGAGCCCTTTTGCATTTAGCTCAAACAAGATCAAAAAAAGACCCAGAAAAGAGATGACAAATTGGAAAAAAGAACACCACCTGCGATGCAGTGCAGGACTTAGCTAGGTGAAGTGTTTACTGGGAGATATAACCAGAAGAGGAGATAAGGATTATATACATAGGTTGTAGGGAAAGTTACATGCATAAGCTGGGGAATGGCACAGATCATTAAATCTTGGACAAATCTTGGCACCCAACAAGGATCGCTTTATCGGTTGCACGCGAAATAAACGAAGACGCAATTTTCGTTTTTTGGACATCCATCGCTTTTTATTTGTTTCGTCTGTTTAGCATCTCTGATTCACATCAATTCGCCGGAGGACTTAATATTGATAAATATTTGCAGAGAAAGCTAGAGTTTCGTGAAATTAGGGTCCAAGCCACCGTTTTGCTTATTTGTTGACTATCGTCGTTTGCTTAATTGTTTTCTCGTTAAAGCTCCTGTCCTGCTTTTGATGTTTATTTATTTTGTTTTTAAATTGCTGCTCCCATCTCCATTGATTTTTTTTTTAACCTAATGCCGAATTCCCACTGGGCACTGAAATGAAAAATGAAAAAAATATTTGCCATTTAATGCCATGTGGAAACAAACCTAAACGGGATTTCCACTAGACACTGAAATAAAAGAGAGAGTTTTCGCCATTTAATCACATGTGGAAACAAACTTAATGACGAATAATATTAACATTTTATTTTGTCATTAAAATTTTCGCTATTTAATGCCCAGTGGAAATCCCTCATAATTTCGAATTTTTACTAGACATTGTAATGACATAAATGGCAATTTTTATTAACATAATGGCGCGGGGATTTTTTAATGGCCAACATTGTCATTAAAAATTTTGTCATTTAATGCCCAGTGGAGATCCCGCATAAGAGTTTTATTATTTATTCATGTTTTGCTTTTGCTGAAAATTGTTTGTTTTTTTAATATCTCGTTTTGTTTATAAATATGGGTTGAAAAATCACAATTATTCAATGCACTTGGTTAAAAGACCCAAATTGAGTTTTGGTTTGATTGTAGATTTTGTGATAGTGCGCACTCACTGTTATATATTTACGAAATTTCATGCTTTCATCCATACAGTTTTTAAATGAGCTGATGGCACCAGGAAACGACATAAAGCCAAACCAAATATATTTAATATAATCCTTATTCATTACTGACCCTTTTGAAATGTAGAGGGTTATCCATTTCGAATTTTCAAAAGCGGAAGGTTGTAGTTTGACGGCAATATCGATAACCCTCGATTTTTATGTGCAATTTTTTTCTGTTTTGAGGCCGCGCAGATTGTAGCTATGACCTGCAGGTTAAATGCTCAGCTTTATATCGAGATGAAATGCATCATCACTCCTTTTTCTGTCCCGCATGTTTCGATGCAAAGCATTCGCTTATTTTTAACGATATCCCGCCACAGATATTTCATTAAAATTTAAGCTGTGCCTAAAGAGCAAGCAGTCTGTTTCTAATAAAATGAGAATAATCCTTGGACTGTTTTCAAGCTGAGTTTTTGTTTTTGAAAAAAATAAAAAAAATTATAATCATATAATGCCGAATTCCCATTAGGCACTAAGTGCCATTTTCGCAGTGGTGGGTTAATTCAAATTCGGCAGTTAACTTTCAAATTTTGTACTGAAAACCTATAGTTAACTGCCGAATGAGACTTAACTCGTCACTGTAAAAACGGCCCTAAGTGACAGAAAAGGCAACCAAGTTTTACAAAGGCATGACACCAGATTTTTTTTAAACGCGTAGTGGAAATACCACATTCGTTTTTTTTTAATGCCTAATGTATATGGCATTTTAATTTCAAATTAAACAACGTCATTAATTACATAGTTTGCGTGCAAATTCATTCTGAAATTTTTATGCCGGATTTCTACTGGGCGTTAAATAAGAAAGTTTGGCATTCAAAAATTCCCGTGTCTTTACGTTATTAAAAATAGTCATTAAATTCGTTTCCATATTGTCTTTTTAAATGTACCTACTCATTTTGATTGTCACAGTAATGCCGAATTTCCATTTGACGTTAAATGACGACATTTTTAATGACATTGTTGGGCATTTTAAATACCCGAGCAATTTAGTTCATACAATTTGTCATTATATCTGTTTCGACATGGCATTTTTTAAATGGCATACATTTTTTGTCATTATAATGCCTAGTGGAAATATGGCATTATGTAAAATGTAACTCTTAACCGGAATCGAATAAATCGGCAGTTATTGAATTTGAATATCTTGAAAATCACACAGTTTTTTTATAGCCGAATTAGATTGTAGTTATTAACCCTTTAAAAAAGGAGCAGGTTATCAATATATCGGACAATTTTTTTATGTTTGTTGCCGGATATTTTTTTTTATCGGACTGGCGGCACCTTAGGGATGGTCCCATACTAATTTGGTTAAAATTTTTATAAAGTCTGTTGTTTCTTTTTATTGTTTAAAAGTTACTTGTTTTGTATCTTTAACTGGCAGTGTAATTTTTGTTAATTATGTATTTAATCTTTTCCACGAGATCTTTAACTGATCCTCACTTGCAAATATACATTTGTACATACATACATACATTGATTATTTTTGACATTTTAGGCCATTTGTAAACTCCTCTGTTTTGCGTGTACAATACCACCATAAACACATCATTACGTTTTTTATATCTAAATTTCATCATTCAAAAACCTTTATTTGCTCATGAAGTCTTCATAGCTACATTTTTTTTTGGGTTGTCAAACATATGCACTTACATATACATGTCACAGTGAAGTCACTTGTAAATATGCTTTTTCATCAAATACTTTCGTTGCTCACTCGTGAACTTAATCATCCTCACGAACCTCATTCACTGTCAACTCTATTCGCATTCATATTGTTCCCATTGTTCGTTCACATTTTATATATTCATAATTTTCATGCTCACCTCAGAATGAACTTTGTGTTGTTCCCGCTGCATACTCGCCCACTACATTTACAAGAATCCAAAATCCAAAGAATTGTTATACAAATATTGTATGTAGTTGGTCCTAAATCATCGTCACATTTCATGTTTTCATTATTAAACGAAAACGAAATTTGTTAATTACCATGCTCTTATACGTCTTGTTCTTCTCTCTTTTTTTCTCCATCACTTTTTTTGTTGTTGTTTTTTTTTTTGTGTCATTTGCAGCTATTGCAGAAGCTTAAGACTGAGAATGAGCGTTTGCGTGCGGAGAATCGTGCTCTCACGCGTGTCGTATCCAAGTTGACCTCCTCAGCTCAGAGTCAACTAGCTAAAAAATCAAAATAATTTTAAAATTAATAAAATGAAATCAAATCAAAAATAATACTCTTAAACTAAGGAAATTAGTAAATGAAAAATTATTAATATATACATAATTCATATGCGCATATACACACGTACATACATACTATTGTTAAAGATAAGTGTTTAGAAGAAAAGAAAAAAAGAGACTACATAAAAGCAAGTGTTTCGAGAGACGGCGTATAACTGGTGCCGAGTAATGCTTACAGTATTTAAGCTCGTATTTAACTGGATAATTTTTGTGCTGCAAAGAAATTGACGCTGGTGGAAAGAAGCTTCCTAAAAGAGTTCTTAGTGGGAGCTGTGTAGTATAAACTATACTACGTACAAATAAATGAATGAACACTCGTGTTGAGATGCTGAAGTTTTGGAAAAATTGCCACGTTTTGGCTATGAAATGTTTGTAATATATTGCAATTGTTCGATCGGTTCTATCAGCACAGGCAGCAAAAATATCAGCAATGATTACACTGGAAATTTATAAACTGTTATTGCACAATTCCACAATGGATATCAACTAGATTAGGAGCATAAAAAAAAATGTTGGTGTTAATAAGCTTGTATGCCTCTTGCCAAGCTACAACGTACGCGCGCTGACTTTGAAAACCGTCGGGATTACGCAGCTTTCATTGCTCTACCAATATACATACATACTCATAGATTTATGTATTTAAAAGTACATTTAATATTGCTTGCATAACATAACTGCACAATAATCGAATAAAAAATAACCTAAAACATTGCAAAAAGTGTTTAATTGAGCGAAATGTTAGATAACAATAAATTAATAAAGTAATATATATCTCATCATGCAATTAGAACAAATATTAAAAAAAAAAATATCCAAATAATTATCCCACTGACAGTTAAGTGTTCAATATAAGCGCTCTGGAAAAATATTCGGAATTTCGATGTGAAATCCTCGATGATCAACAAAATTGGCTAATGGTTCTGCTTGCTCCGATTTTACGCCGGTATAGTTTTCTTGTTGACTTGAATGATATTAATATTTGAGACACAAACCAAAGAGACAATATTCAAGATATGCTTTTGGTACATTTAAGCATTGCAGAGTGTGGCTGATAGGAAGTTAAACAAGAATGATAGAATACAACCCAGTAGATAATTTCAAGAGTAAAAAGTCCTTCTGAAAAGCCTTCCTGAGAGTCAAGAGGCCTTCCACTCTACATTCCTTACTCGTTTCTTTTTTGTATAGAGTGGCACAAATTGAAGGGCTTCTTCTTTCGCTACCCATGGAAGGGCTTTCATAGGACGTACTTCAGATGGCCTTTTGGAGGAGTTGTTTTGAAGTTGCTTCTGTAATTTATAAAAATCATACACCTTTGAAGTATTTGCTTAAGGTTTATATCAAATATGTCTTATTGCAACTTAAAATATTTATTGAAATTCATTTCTAATGCTAAATAATATAAATTTATGCATTCGCGTAAATTTTAAATGGATAATCTCTTCTAGAAGGCATGCAAGGAAGCACTTTTTTCAGCCCTTCTAGGCCTCTAGAATGACTTTACCTAAGAAGGCCTACCTTAAGTATATTCTGGGAAGATTGCGCATTCCCGATTGCGCGATGACATTTGTGGGTAAAAAGTAGCGAAGCCGAATAGGAGCATAAAAGGGAAAGTGAGATTAGTCTTAATGTTTTTTCTATTTTTGTCTTAATATTCCATTTTTCGATAGGAAACGTGTTTTAATTGCTTTAAATTGTGAAAATATATGGTTTCTAATAAAAATTAATAAACGAAATGTGAAAGAACTGTGATTTTAGTGAAAGTATGGTGAATTTCAGTGCATTTGAAGTTTTTGAGGTGTTGTTTATGAACATCGAGAACTGTAAAAATCGGCAAAACCAAAGTAGTGGCTTGCGGAATGCGCCACCTTCTGTTCGCTACATCGTGGTAGTTGAATTTTACACATAAGACCCTATTCTCACACCAAAATGACAATACTTCGCATAACTTTGCTAATGTGACTAAAACTAACTTCTCATACCCGCATAGGATTCTATGTTAACCTAATATTTTAGACATATAATGTGCACTTGTATGCAAAAAAACAACGCGGCAAATTTTTGTGGAACATTTTAACCCTCTAACTCCTCAAAAGGTGGCCTTTTTCGCCCATTTTTCAGAAAAGTGCAAAAAAATACATATCAAACAGGGATCTAACAGCTAGCAAATAACAACGATCTGATAACGGATTCTAGTAGATGGGGCCAAGAAACCATATGTGTGTCGGCGTTTTGAAAGTTTACGTATGAGATATTTAAGGGGGGCTAAAGTTCTCCCTTTTGCACATTCTGCATGCATGGAAAATCGGCATAGGAAACCATGCAATGCTTACATTTTAGACATACAATAGGGGTATTCTCGAAGTCTTGCACGATGCACGGATTGCACGAAATGCAAAAATACTATTCCAAATTTCGAAGAGTACGAGAACACCCCATTGCAAAGTGGTAGCATGCATGGGGAGCAAGCAGCGAAATTATGTATCAAATACAATAACAAGAGACAGCAAAAAAAAATTAAGTGAGCGAGATGAGAGGAATGAGAGAAATATGTAGCAATTCCAACAACAAAACAACTAGCACAGGGTCGCTATTATCTTGCTATGCTATTTTGCAAAATATATACATGGGTTTCGACGTTGCAGCGATAGGAAATGTTGTTTCCCATGAATTTTCTTGTTGTGTGTTTGCAATTTATGCAATCCGTGCAATCCGTGCTACGTGCAATGGCTTTGCAAGATTTGGAGAATACCCCTAATGTGTTCAGCAGTTTTATGTAAAATACGACGGCGAACATTTGTGTGGAACATTTTAACCCTTCTTAATAGGTGGGCTTTTGGATGTACGTAGAAAATTCACACATGGGCCCGCCCGCCCTCTTCGCTTGAGTTAAAATCATTCTAGCGAGCCTTAGAAGATCTACATACATACCATACATGATGCTGCAAATATTAAGCAACAAACTATATAAATATGTATTTTTTGAGCCCGGGATAAAAATGTATACATAAGACCGAAAGACGAATACCACAAATTCACAGAAATAAAGGAATGTTCCGACCTATGGCATTTGACCACCATTTTTAAAGTAAAAATTTCCGCTGAATACGAATATGAAGTCAAAAAATAAAAAAGTAGAGCAATTTTCGAGATAAACATAACTAATTTATTTTTATTTTTTTTAATCTTAAAAAGTAGCACTCACAATGTAAGTGAAGTGAAGTCAACAACATTTTCCAACCGAATTAGCGTTTCAGGAGCTATTCATTGTGGTGTTCACACTTGCCTGGTTATCTGGTTATATTTTTATTCAGTTTACAACAATAAAATACACTACAAAATAAAAATAATTTTTCTGTAGTGTATTTTATTGTTATACAACAACAAAGTATACTGCAGAAAAATCATTTTTAACCAAATAACTTGATAACCAGGCAAGCGTGAACAACCACATTGATTTATCGGTATGTTACCTGATTTTTAATAAAATAAAAAAAAAATAACAAAAATACTTGCGGTACAGCAAAAATGACTTGTTTACTTCCGGTTTCTTTCTAGAACGTCAAAGTAAGCTCTTTTTTTAAATACAATAAGACCCTACTTATCTAAATTGAATAATAATTCTAGAAGTGATGAGCACCTAAGTAAAAATACGCACAAAAAGTGTCCATACAAATTTACGATTTCATAAATTATGTTAACCTTTAATAAATTTTAAATCACTAATATGTATGAACGGTGTTGTGTGAAAGATCCCTTATGAAACAACTGTTCGGGCCTTATCAGCGTGGCTTCTGATCTAGAAAATCCACCATAGACCAGATTTTACACTGCGTCAAATACTGGGGAAAAGATAAGAAATTTGACACACACCAACTTTGACGACTTTAAATCTGCAGAGTGATGTTGAGCAGCTTCGTCGAAATTGGGAAAAGCCTCTCCGCTTGGTTAGAGACCAAACGAAGTGTAATACAAAGGGGAATATCTGACAACTTCTTCAATCCGATGTTGGAAAGCGTAGTAAGTACGAGCTGGCCATCTGAATAAAACAAAATTATGATGCGCCTGGTGTATGCAGTTGATATTGATATCATCAGCCTCAACAGACGGGCCATCCGTGCAGCATTTTCCAGCTTCCAGCAATCAGGCAGGGGAGTCTGGTCCGCGGTAAACGAGGACAAGACAAACAAAGTACCTCCTAGCAACACTCAAATAGTCTTCACGTATTGGCACACACGTGACTGTTGGTAGTTATGTATATGTAGCTTTGAAGTAATGAACTTGTATATCTTGGATCTAGCCTGAAGATCAAGCGACGAATAACTCTTGCCAATAGGCGTTAAGTACTTTGCAAATTTTGAAGCAAAACACTCTTCACCTCAAAAATACCAAATCTGGCAAATCGGCTCAAGAAACCGCCTACTTGACCAGCGAGAATATTGAGTTGATGGGCCATCGTCCATACAGCCCTGATTTTGCATGCAATTACTTACTTTGTTTTAAGCTCGCAAATAAAACTTCGTTTTAAGAAACAAAAAAAGGTTGAATTCGATTATAGAAATTCGTCATTCATTGTTTGGTCAACTGTTTGTGGTTGGTTGAGTAATTGAGGAGTGTCTTAAGCAGGGATCACACGGTTTGTACATTTGTACATTTTGGCAGTTACAGAGTGTTTTTGTCTGGAAATGCTTTTATTGGGCTGAACTCAAATTTCTCAACACCACCATTCTGTGACTGCCGAAATGTACAAATCTGTACAAATGTACAAATCGTGTGAACCCTGCTTAATCAAAAGATGATAAGATTCATCTGAAAAACCACCTATACACTACAAAATAGAAATATTATCTTTTGATTAGACACTCACCAATTAATGGTCTCATTTGCTTCACTTTTCGGCGCCGTAAACTTTCCTTAAAGGTAAGCTGTTAACCAAGGTTAGATTTACATTTTTAGAAAAGTTTGTAATACCCGAGTTGTCACACTTCTTGCAATACTTTTTTGCAAGCATAACTCTTGAATATTGTCATAATAAAGAAAGATTATCAAAGAGTAAATTTAGTGACAGTTCTTTAATCCTTGTTAAACCGTTGATTATAAGCATAATTTAGATTGTGCAAATCTATATTATATTAATAAATAAATTGATATTGATATTGTAAATGAAAAATAAATATTTTTGTTCCAAAAAACATTCTTGTCTTGTTTTGTTTCGTTGTTTTTGTATGCGTATTGGAAAATGGTTCCCTTTTTGTTTGTTTCATTTTTGCATTTGTTCGAATTTATGCGAAATTTTCTTCTCTATCAACTAAAATTTTCTATAAACATTTTCTTCTACAATAACATTTGTGTTTCTTTATTTGTTTGGAAAATACGTACATACTATTTATTTACGTTCTTTTTGTGATTATTTAAAAATTCCATACAACAAACAAATAAACATATTTATCTTAAAAAAATGGGTGAGAATGGCACATACACAACAACTTGGTGGATTAATTTTTACCTATTAAAAAAAGGATAATAGAAATTTTCTATTAGTTTTTTCAAATCATTGTCATCGGGGTCTAATATAATAACAGTCTTTCGGGATCAGTCTGCATGGCGTATATTTGGGCATTAATTAGTCGCAACTAATTTCACACGGGTATTATAAGAGATCTGTTAGCCCCCGACCCGTCAGGAATGACACGTCTGATCTAATGGAAACACATTTTTTTTGGTAACATTTTAACCCTCTAACTCCTCAAAAGGCGGGCCTTTTTTTTGTTAATTTTTCAGAAAACGAATTCCGCTAGAGGGAGAGCCAAAAAACAGTGGGTAAAATTAACTACTGCCTTATTTATGTAGCATTGCCATGAAGAGAGTAATTTTTTTTTTTTGAAAGCGATTACTCGATTTTCATAGCCGTTCGGGT